AATCTCGGCGCAGCGGCGGCAGTCGGCCAGCGCGCGCAAAAACCATTACAGCGCTAATTGTTTATTGATATATCTTTATTAGTTTAAAAGCAAAAAATATGGGGTTTGCTTTGATACCTTGTCAAGACATAAGCGAAACTTTTAAATTGTTTCTTTTTTTCAGTTAGGCCTACGTTTTTCGTTAAATGAAAGTTATATTAAAAAAAATCTATTTTTAAACCAAATTTTCGCATGATTGAAATGATTATTCATGTTTAAAGTTTTTTTGGTCATAAGCGCTAATGGAAATGTTTTTTCGTAAATAATTATAAAAAATTACTATGATAGTGCCCTTTTACCCGGTCTAATTTTGTACTACTTTCGGAATAAGGGTCCCCATATCATGTACTGTACTTCCATCCCTGAAAAATTCAGCTTGTGACACCGAAGTAAGAGGTAACGTCAAAATAAGCTTTAATCTACCTACATCATAGGTAGGTGTAGGTACTCTAGGTATATTCTACCTAGACAGTAGCTGAACTAGCTGACAGTAGTAATTAATTTGTTATCCGATAAGTAGTTGTCATTATATAAGTTTAATCATCTTATACCTCCTATAACGGTAGGTTTTGGATTTTTCCTGATTGGTTTGTTAAACAAAAATATACTGGGCATATAAATGTCTGTTACAGGTTAATTCGTTAAAGAAATATGTTACACACATATTATTTTAATAATAATAGTATAATAGTAATGGCTATATTATGTTATAACACATACATATGTATTGAATGTACTTATTTTAACCAATGCATTGTTTTGTTTTTTTAATCTCACAAATAAGAAATGTTTTATAGTTTTTATTATAAAAAACAGTGATTATACAATTTATTTACACCCCTTACACTGTTTTCTGTAAGGGGTGTAACCAGGAGTATATTTCGTAACCTCTTACGATATAAGAGGGCACAAAGTGTTTTATTACTTAATGCTTAAAATTTAATAATATATTTGTACATAAAATAAAATAGACTAGAAAGTCAATTAATTAATATTGACGTAATTACTAAATAAGTACAAGATTTTTTTTCTAATTATTTTAGTGTATTTTTAGTCACCTAATTATAAAGGAGAGATATCCAACCATTGCATTATTTTACTCACAAATAAATGTTTTATGGTTTTTATTATAAAACAACGATTAATTTATTATACACCCCTTAACCCAAACACTCCAAGGAGGATATTTCGTGACCCCTTATTTAAAGTGGACAAGCTTTATTAGTCAATGTTTTAATTACCCAGCGTCTTTAATAAAAATCTAATGTAATTTTTCATAGAAATGATCTGACATAAAAAGCAAATTTTATCAAAAAACTTTTTGATTATCTACAAGGAGTAAACCGCTGACAAATGTCTGTATACTAATGCCAAAGTAATGCCAAAAATACAAATTAAATACCAAAATTTCTCATATAATGCCCCACTAATGCCAAGCTGATTCCAATATAATACCACTAATACCACGAATAATATGTAACACATTTGTTTCACGAATTAACCTGTAACAATACTGGTAGGTACGTGCACAGATTTTTTCCTAGGTAACTTAAAAGTCGTTAAAAAGTCTAATTATATTTAAAGAAGATATAATTCCAACAAATTACATTATAAGGCCAATAATGCACAAGTAATACCATTAAAATTTTAGCGTTTTTAACTTGTGTAACATATTTCTTTAACGAATTAACCTGTAACAATAGTGGTAGGTACGCGCACAGATTTTTTCGCTAGGTAACTTATTAAGTCGTTAAACAGGCCTATAAAAGCTATAACAACATAGGTAACTAATATTTATAATTTAATTCGAGTTTTAATCTCAAATAATAAATGTTTTTACTGGTGTATTTCTGAAGTGTTCATTATTAAAAGTAGATATTCTTCAAGTTATGCGAAGTAATAAGTAATGTTTCCGGTGAGACCGCGTATATGTCACCGGATTCTGGTTAGTATAAAGACTTTTTCTATAGAAAGAGTTTTTTCTATATTTTCCTTTCAAAATAAGACTAATTTCTTCTTATTCTTTTAAATATTACAGTGTTTCTTTTTCCTAAAATGTTATACTTAATTTTCGCTTAAAATTAAAAAATCACAAATGGAGGAAAATATACGTTATTGAATAAAGTTTATACAAATCACTTTACCATAACAAAAAAGTAAAAACATGTCATGGCGGAAGATATTCAGGTGGCATTTCACACATTTATCTATTAAAATCGAGATTAAAATAATAAACTTGCGTAACATGTTATACACGAGATAGAAAGTTTCAGAATCGATTAATACGCAATACGCTACGCAGTCAACTTATTCCTATGCGCGGATGAGCGTCTTCAAGACTCTTCCTTCGGCCAGGGTCACGACGCCGCCGAAGAGGAATCGGCCTACGTTTGGCTAAACAGGCTGGACACGGTGGAGTACGATATTGGCGAGTCTGAATATTTATAAAAATTTGCAAAGTAAAATATGTTGGAAAAATAATTAATCCATACATATATAAAAGCTCAAAGGGTTTTTTTGTTGCATCCATCCCGCCGAAACCGCTTTACCAATCTTGATGATTCTTTTTTTAAATGAAAGGTATATATGTGTAGATTTGTTATGAAGTATTTTTATAGTGCTTAATGGCTATTTCTTTGTGTAAAACGACTAAATACTAAAACATACCTGAAAAACACCTACACACAATACCTCCAGAAATAAATTATTTGTCATTGTCAGTGGTGTGTCAGTTAGATTATATATTACGTTTTTAGATATTTTAGAGTGAGTTCATGCCGCCAGCTTTAGATACATAAATATTAGCACAAAGGTTCGTTTAAACGACATTAGTGAATTAGCTACACAAAGCGATTTTAGGAAATTCATCCTCTTAGAGAGTAAAATTATCTCGGAACAGTTTGTTGTATGAAAATTCCTTACTATTTGGTCTAGAAGAATGAAATCCTACAAAAAGAATTAGAAGAAATTTTTTAAATTCATCAACCAAATGGGTAAAGTAAAAATTTATATAAAAATTTATATAAAACTTGGTGACCTCTGGATTATACACATAAAAATGGGCACAAAGGTAAAGCGAATTTATGAAATTTATACCCGTAGGGAGTAGAATAGAGAATGAAAGTTTGCTGTACGAAAATGCAATATTATAACATAACCATAAACCAGACAGTATAAAATTTTATACAAGGGTTTATTTAGTGACATCATAACGAAATATATCTTCCTCAATTATCCTTCAAAGAATAAAAAATAACCTATAAAGAGAGTACTAGTGCTCTTAATAAATAAAAAAAAGATGAAAAATAAAAAACATCTATGCTCACTAGCTCTCTATAAAGAAGTAAAAAATCATTTAAATCAATGCATGAAGGATTCGAGGTGTAGTGCTAGTAATTTATTAAATTATTTTATTGAACTCATTAATTTTCATTGAAAAGGAATTTTTGTAATTCGCCACTAGATTTTGACTTATACTTTTTACAAAATCTGAACACATTTTAAAAGAAAATAGTTTTTGATAATATTTGTGTAGATTGACTACAAGTTGTATAACATAAATTTCTACGACCGGTCTACCTAGTGGTCTGCAGCATCGCCTTGTGGTGCAAACGTGGGCCTGTTAATCTGTGACGTGACGCACAACAGCCAAGAAAAACAGAAGCGTGGCTAAGAATTTAGTAATTCAAAAAGAAGTCTTTTAAATACAGTAGTAGGTATTAAAATGTTTTGTGTTTAAATGGGGTTTGCCTTTAACAGTTAAAAAATTATATCGGAAAGTGTAACTTTCCGTAAGAATTCTTTTTTTTGCTTGCTTGTTTTACGGATAGGTGCGATCGCATAATTATTATTGATAATGTTTTATTTAATTTTAACATTACTACTTTTTCAGTGAATCTTTAAATCTGTTGTTTTTTGTTAAGTTCGTTATTTAAACATATGTATGTAATACACTCATATTAACACTAATCATATTTTTACGTTTTTATTCATCATTTTCAATGCCCCCCCGGTTGCATCTCTGTAAAGGACTATGAATTTTTTATTTTTTGTTTTCTAAACTTTTAAATATCTTGAAAACGGTTGCTCGTAACGATTTTTAACAAGAGACCTTTTTTACGTAAAAAATATTGTAAATGTATATTTTTTTCACAGTAGTTTTATACAGGTACGGATAAAAAGTTATTACTCTTCAAACCAGTCAAAAATATATATAGGTGGCTCTCTCTACAAGTAGAGGTGGCTCCCAGATACAAATTTTCATCGAAATATTGACGTTACTTCAGAAATTATTTGGAAAAAATCGAAATGAGAATGAAAATTCTACACCCTGTATCTCCGAAACTAATCATTTTAGGACATTTATACGAACTTTTTACTTACTAAATCGTATTTTTAATCATATTTATAATATAATTTTTTAAAATGGAACGAGGGTGGTTCAATAGCATATTTTGAAAAAGCATTTTTTACGAATAATTTGATACCACACACATGGTATTTCGAGTCAAATTGTCGTTATGAACCGCATCTTATAATTTCAAATAAACCATATGCAAAAATGTCAAAAGTTGACATATGATATGTCATTCTATTCAGAGTCTCATTTTCTATCGTATAAAGTAAAAAAAACCGAGTGTGCCATTAAAAAATCAAAAGTTGTATTCATTTTCGGCGAAAACGGATGAACCGGAATGATCGAAAACAACTGAATATATCAATCAATCCTAATTTATGTCATTATAGTAACATACCAAATCTCGTTTTTTTATCCGAAAAAGTAAAAAAGTTATAGGGGTAAGCCACTTTTGAGACGCACCCGGTATACTTGATTCGCAATATGAACTACGAGTCTTGGCCTATCACCCTACCGCATACCCAAAATCGATATGAATAAGACCTTCCATTATTTATATACAATTATGAGGATTACGCCAATTGTACGTAATAATCTGTTCCAGATCGCCCGGCAGATGGCAGTACAAGACGACACCTAAGCCGCGCATAACGATCAGAAAACAAAACGACGACGAGACGGGTGGCAACAGTAACGAGGCGCCTCTGGAAAGCACCTCGCCGAGCAAACCCGAGCCCCCCATCCAGAATAACGAGGGGGCGGTCTCCGCCGCCTCTGCCCGTTCGGACGATTCCGACAGTCTGGAAGGGTCGGAGTCGATTACCACAATTATCGACGACGACGGTGCCACGGAAAATAAACTGGACGGACCCGCGCTGCCTCTGGAAACGCTCAAAGTGGAAATATCCACGCCGCCCGATTTCAAGGACATCTATTACGAGATTGCTACTATCAAGTCGCCTTATACTTTTCAGGTAAGAAAATGTACCATACGTTCGAAAATAGACTTTTTTCCATAGCAATTGTTAAAATTGCCTTGTATCTATCAAAAATAGTATATAAAATAGCACTTTAACCGCTAGGGTAGATTAAATGATATTTTAACAGCGAGGATAGTTTAAAAACTTTATTTCTTCTCGCACGTTTTTTAATTGCTTCCATTTTTGAAAACTTTTGTATTCCTTTTCATAGGTTAGTCGGGACTTAAATGGAAGTAGTTTGGATATGGCGTTTGCCGCCTCAGCCTGAATATCTGTTGGTAATTTACTTATTTCGTTTTGAGCAATTTCTGGCTCCAATTCAATCAGCAATCCACACGAAAAGGAATTAAAAAATATTGACTCAAAACTTTTTCCTCCCACTAACAGAAGGATCCCACTAAAAAAGTCTCCTTCCGAGGTGTCAGCTCCTCTTTTCCCGGAACCGCCGCGGCCGTATGGCATTACTTCGGGTTCGTACGTATTCTTGGGATTTATATCTTATCTATGTTAATTTTTTTATCTATATTCTGTTTTGGTAATTTTCATGATCAAGGTGTCAGAAGTTAATATTCCTACATCCATCAATAAGGCAGACCATTCGTTTTTCCATCTTGGACAGCAGAACAAGCATCGGCATCATCAATTTCGTGCAGTACAGGGTGGGTCGAATTCGACGCTTTTAAAGGGAAGCATCCTTTTCTATAGGAGATAGACGAAAACTAATATCGGTGTCTGGAGCTCAATTTTTAACAAAAACATTATGGTGAAAACCGCACATCGATATCTGTTACCCTTTATGAGTGCATTTTTAACAAATCACCTTTTTGCTATGGAAAATTTTTATGCAAACATTTTGAAAGCACTTTTTTACGTAGAATTGTAATATTTTTTTTAAAAATTAATAATTTGAGAGTTATCAGCAGAAACGTTGATTTTTTTGGGACACCATGTATATTTTTAATTAAATGAAAAGAGTTTAAAATTACCTTTCCCAAAATATAGCACACTTGATATTTTGTTATAGTCTCCTTCGAAATAGAGAATTTTTAAAAGTTCACCACTTTTAACTAGTAGGCATTGGACCCCTTATTGATGATCTACCCCTAACGGAACTCTAAAATATATTTTCCAGCAAGACGAGGCACCGCTTCAAAACGCTGAAGTTATCAGCAAATTTGTCCACCTTCCCTTTTCGGATACATCCGAGCACACCTCTTGCCATTTTTGATAGGTACTTCTTAGTTGCTGTTTTTTCACCTCATTGGTAATCTCCGCTTTAACATATAACTTTCGCTTTTCATCAGCTACTACATGCAGCGGGAAAACAAAAGCGGCTGGAGAATGACAATTGATGATAATTTTGGTGAGGTCAAGTCCGAAACGTCTTTTTTTAAATTAACAGTCTATTACGCTGTACTGGGCCCGAATATGTATCTTAGAAAATGGTAATAATGCTTCCCATCTGACGGGCTTAGCGTTTTTACCCATTGGGCTACGCGATTTGAAATCGGCTACCTTAAAGGATCGTTTTGCTTGTCAAACTGTCAGTAAAAATAGAAAAAATCTTCTAGAAAAAGTTCTCTTTCTATCTTGTGAAAAATATTTCTTCTTCTATAAATTCGTCAATAAGTAATTAATTGATAATTTACGACTTGGTAGCTATAAATATTGTTCAAAACATTGAAAATACATCCATAGAAAAATAGGTTGACATAACTCAACAATAGGTTTTGAAATTCACATAACATTTTTCAATATTTTATCGACATTTGACTATTAGTAAACTATTAGATACCTGAGAAAGTGCGATGCTGGCATTATGTGCTCAACGTGTATCCAGAAAACGATTCGCAACGAGAATACAAAATCGACAAAATCGACGCTTGGCGTTCTGCTAATCGAATACTTTCGCTTACCGCTTTGAAAGCGTAACGTTTTTATGTCAAAGTTCCAGAATTTGGGCCCTGTTTGCGTCGCTCTCAGGAATCCGGTAAAGCGGGTGTGTGGCCGAAGTAAATATATATTATGTTTCAAAAATCACCCTAAGGTTTAGCCCGATCCTGTCGTGTTATGCCACACCTAAAATTACAAACACACGTGGTTTGATTAAGGTTTGATTATGGTTTGCAGAGCTTCAGTATTTGGTATAAAACAGCGAGCAATTTGTTACAAAACCATATAAATTGTATAACACTGTAATCACAAAACTTCAATCTATTTCCGTATTGTAACGGAATTTTATTTTTTTTTTATTTTCGAGTAAATATAGTTCAAACATAAGGAATATTTTGTTGATGTTTGACCATCAAAATCTCGAAAATAAATAACTTGTCTAAAAATGTGCTACAATACGGATATAGTATAATCCTTTATCTTTAATTTCCTTCTTCATTTGTGAAAAAATACCTAGCCAGTTTTACGTTAAATGCCGAACGGTTATTTTGCTAGTTTTTCGGACTAGTGAAATTGACTATTAAGAACGTTCTAATTTATTTTTATATAAGTAAAAATGCTTTTTAAAGTGTGTAGTTTGAAATTTGATAACAAAATATATTTTTGAGAGTCGATTTGTGTCTGGAAACGTCCTATTCTTTTTTAACCTTTCAATAATTAGTGTTAATTTTTGAAAAGTTTTATGTCAAATTTTAGTAAATGACCGTCTATAGATTTACCTCGCCAAATTCTCGTTGGGTGATAAATTTATAAATCATTTTCATCTGTAAAGTCACCCATTAAAGTTTAGTATACTATGTTTGACACCCTTTATAAAAAGTAACTTCTTAAAGTAATTAGTAGATAACTGCCTAAACACACATCTCCTGGCTACAGTAGCAAATTTTCAGAGGGTTCAATATCAAAATTAATATACTAAAGGTTGTATAACATAAACTAAACTTCCCAAAGATAACATGGAAGATCCTAAAGATGTTATTGTTGCTAGTTAGAATTATGCCTAAGAAAAGAGGGCTAAGTTTAGATATGGCGAAGTTCATTCCTATTAGTAATTTACAAAACCATAAAAGTATTATAATTTTACTTTAATTAATACGAAAACGCAAAAAAAAACAGATAAAACATTATAATATGAGACTTATCAAGATTTGATAATTAAAAATTTAAAAGCATTTAATAAGCCTTAAAGTTTTTCAGTGCGTTATACCGGGTGCGTCTCAAAAGTGGCTTTGAAAAAACGAGATTTGGATGTTTTGGATGTAATCAGGATTTATTGATGTATATCAATTGACTCATGTAGTACTGCTGCGCTGGTTTTATGAATCGCATCCCTTAATTGTGTCCAGCCTTGTTCAGCTTCCAAGATTGAGATTGAAATTATCGGTGGGAGTGATTCTTTGATCACTTCCCGGAGGGCGTCGGCGGTATTTTTGGTCTCTAGACTCCGTATGTTCAATCAGGTCATGTTGTTTTGCTTTTTACAGTGTGGATGTTTGGGTTTTAGCTGAATTTTAATTTTTGAAATTAAAAGTCGGTGGCCAGTACCGCATTCGGCATCTATTCTGGCTTTTGTGAGTCTTACATATTTTAGATGCGTCCTTCGAACGATTACGTGGTCCAATTGATACCAGTGACCTGATCTGGGATGTTTCCAGGTACCTTTAAACTTGTCCTTCAACATGAACCACGTATTGGTGATGCATAGATGATACTCTGTGCATGTTGTTAATAAGCGTTCACTATTGCTATTTACGTTTCCCATTCCATATTTTATCCCTTGCACCCCAAGCTATGAGTATTAATAGCCTACATTCTGAGTACCTGAAAATTTCAATAATTTTTCACGAAATCTATTTATATCCAATATTTCGATACTCCATTTACGAAACATTTTACAACCTCATGGCCTGATAACAACTTCAAATCATAATCTCTCGTTTCGCCGACGCAAAATTGAAAATTTAAATCAACCTTAAACCGCGTTTAACTCCGAATTGCCTCGATCTAGTTACCTAGCTATCTTCACGCCTGCCATATAATGCGATAAAATGGCTGTTACAGAGGGGGTATTCGCCACCTCCCGTTTGCTACCGAAATTGGGATTACCGTTTGCCTCAGATATATTGCTTTATTAAAAGGTCGACAGAATACAATTTGGTCTCCCTGAAAATTTGAAAATTTTACCATATTAGGCGTGTTTCTATATGAGATACCGTATAATAAGACGTGGAGGTATGCTATTGTTGAGGAAAATTTATAAGCCTTGGGATAATTGAAAATTTAATTCTGACATTGTGATATACGAGACTCGACTATTTTAAAGAATTTTAATAAGTCTCAAAGAAACGATTAGAAAATGCATTGATCGAGGTGTGTCTCAGGTAGGTAAAAATGTACATGTACTGCCAAAATATCATGCCGCTGCTAAGCTACTGCCAGTGACTGCGAAGAAGACTCAAAAGACTTAAAAATGTACATGTAATTCCAAAAGTGAGACACCCCTCGGCATTGATACGAGGCTGGGCTGAAAAATAATCGGCCTAGGTAAGAAAACAGAACTTTTTTCGGCAAAACTCAATTTATTTCTCAACGTAGTCCCCGTTAAGCTCTATACACTTTGTCCAACGATTCTCCAATTTTTCGATGCCCTTCGAATAATACGATTTTCCGGAGTCCTAAAATGGGCCTCTGTCGCAGCGATGACCTCCCCATTCGACTCAAATCTCTTACCACCAAGCCATTTTTTCAAGTCTGGAAACAGATAATAGTCGCTGGGCGCCAAATCTGGGGCGTATGACGGATGAGGAACTAACTCGTAAAGCAATTCATACAGTTTTGCCATTGCGACTGCACATTTATGCGCCGGTGCGTTGTCCTAGTGGAAGAGCACTTTCTTCTTGATCACAAATACAAGAACTGTCCTGAAATCAAAACTATAATAGGTATTTACTTTAGATAGTCTATGCTTACTTTTATATAAATATCCTATTCTTAAATCATACAGGGTGTTCAAAATTCTAAGCCAAACTTTCTAAAATATAAAATAAATTTTCTTCGTTTTTTTTTTAAATGGAACACCGTGTATATTATTTTTTCAATAAATGGAGAATTAAAAAATGAACATTTCTTGTATTTTTAGAATATTTCAAAATTTTTAACGGTTAATAATTTAGGACTTTCTATAGGAAATTCCGAGGGGTGTCTCCCTTGGGTAAAAAATGTACATGTACTGCCAGAATATCATGTTACTATCAAGTGACTGCCAATCAGAGCGAAGAAGACTGCCTATGACTGCCATGTAATTATTATAGATGACTGCCGTAAGACTGCAAATGACTGCCAGCGACTGCCAAGAAAATGTACATGCGGTCGTTTTTGCTTCAAATCGGCGTCGAATCGGTCCAACAGCTTTGAGTAATATTTGCCGGTGATCGTTTTGCCCTTTTCAAGGTAATCGATATGAATAATACCGTGCGCATCCCAAAAAACTGTGGTCATGACCTTGTTGGCAGACAGACCCACCTTGGCTTTGACTCGCCCTGAGAAACCCACTGCTTTGACTGTTCTTTCGTCTCTGGAGTATTGTGATGGATCCAAGTTTCATCCACGGTTACAGAACGGCGCAAAAAGTCCTTCTTATTGTAGTTAAACATTGCTAAACACTCCTTTGAAGTTGTGACACGGTTTCACTTGTTGTCGGCATTGAGCAAATGCGGCACCCATCTGGCAGCGAGCTTCCTCATTCCCAAATATTCGTGCAATATATTCTCCATTCGTTCATGTGACATACCCACAGCCTCAGCAATCTCGCATACTCTTACCCGTCGATCGTCATTTACCATACTATGGATTTTATCGACCACTTCTGGTGTATAACTTTTTTTTTATTTTATCAGATAAAAAGTGGGATTTGGTACGTTAATATTGACATAAATCTGGATTGATTTATGTATTCAATTGTTTTCAGTCACTTACTGTTTCACCAGAAATGACTACAACTTTTGTTTTTTAAATAACACCTCCGGCATTTTTTTACTTTATTCGATAGAAAATGTCACCCTGAATGGAATGACATATCATATTATGTTAACTGACATTTTCGCATATGGTTTATATGGAATTGTAGCAGGCGATTCATAACGACAAATTGACTCGAAATACCAAGTTTATGGTACCAAATTATTCGTAAAAAATCGTATTCCAAATATGCTAATGATCCACCCTTGTTCCATTTGAAAAAAATAAAGTATGTATGATTAAAAATATGATTTGGTCATATTTTAACAGGCCAAGACAAGACACGATAAACATTAGACGACCAAATCTATTTTCCAAGACTCCTTGATTAAAGTTTAGTATTTTAACACAGCCTAAATTACTCTTTTTAACACTCTAAAAACACTCTTGAAATTTAAAATACAATTTTTCTGTAAACAAAAATTCAAAAGTTGACATATGGTATGTCATTTTCTATCGAAAATAAAATATTTCTTTATTTATTATTTGTTTAATTATTGTAGTGAACATTATATTATGTGTGCTCTGATGATTTTAATTGTATTTTTTGGATATTAATATTCGACACCGTCTTTGTTATAACACAACACTGATGAAGGCTATAATTTTAGCCGAAACGTTTGTTTTTAAAACCAAATAAAGATACTTAAACGTTTTCCCGAACCTAAATCCCAAGAAAATCAAAGTTTTAAAAATTTTTAGAAACAACTTAAAATATTTAGAAACCAGGTTCAAGAACTTTTTCAAATTTTCCAAGGATATGTAATGTTATTACCCTTATGCTAGAACTCTCGTTTTCTTAAATAAAGCGAACAATAAATTTTTACATGAATTTAATTAAAGAAAACCTATTTGTCTTTTCAGGTGGGAAGCGTAAAGAACACCCGCTACGTCACCGTCACCTCCACGTTTGAGAAGAGCCTGGAAAACACCGAACCCACCCCCACCCTCTCGCCCACCGAGCCCCTCACCGAGAACATTCTCGCCACCTCCAGCAATTACGCCAAAGACAACAACTTAGACTCGAGCATCGCGACGTTGCCGCCCATTTATCTCGCGTCGGACGTCGCCACGTCGCCTTTAGAGACGCTAACCGAAACGTTCAGCACCACCCAGACGCTACTAAAGACGCACATCCTGCCCGTTATTCGCAGCGTCAACGACACCACCAGCTCCACTTTAGTTCAGACCTATTTAATAACGCGGCTGGTTACCGCGACAAAGACCCTTCCACCCATGGAAGCCTATCACTTTAACCCCAGCAAAACGCTGAACGAATTTAATAGTCGCTTGGATGAGGCTGGATCCGAGCTTCACTTAGAGCTGGAATTCGGTGACAGTAACGAGCAGGATGAAGACGGTGTACCGAGGAAAACACTGCCGGCTGACTTGGATCTTGCTAATGTAGGAACTGATTTTAAACTGCCTGAAACGGACAAAGCCAAAATAGAAAAAGAGCTGAAAAACAGGAAGGTGCAACAGAAACCTTCCCTTAACGATATTCAGTTTCCTCAGCAGAACTTTAGTCCCGACCAGTTACAACAACTAGCTTTGCTAAGATTATTAAACCCTGCAGCAGCTCAAGGACAAGTCATTACAACATCGCGACCTGTTCTAAAAGTAGAAACCTTATACGAAACCCACATCCTTCCAGTGACTCAGGGCCACAACACGATACTTAGCACCATATCAAAAGTTAAAGGAACCTTTACTAAAACTGACTTTGAGTACGGTACCAGCACAATCCCACCTTCGTTCCAACAACCCTTACCTCAAATTCCGCAAATCCCTCAGATACCTCAGATTCCTCAGCTGCCTTTGAACCCGTTGTTCCCTCAGCAAGGCGTACAACCGCAGTTTACGGTAACTTCATCACCTGTGACGCAAAGTACTATAGTTACGCAGACAAACAGCAAAGTATTGAAGTTGACGTTTGGAGCGAGAACAGCGTTGACGACAGTGTTCTCGACGACAGTCGTTCCTACAATTTTAACGACCTACACGACCGCCTCCGTACCAGTGGTGGCGCCCACGGCAGCGGCATTCCCGGGGTACTATCCAGCTCCTTTCCCAGCCTATCCGTACGTAGGTTAGACAAAGACAGATGTGTGTAGAACTAAAGTGCTTTTGACTATAGAACTTGGGACGTTAATCAACGGTTAAGTGCAAAAAGTGCTTTGTGAAAGTGTATAGTATATTAAAAACTTGTTACTACAATCGAAGAAAGGGTCTTTTATAAGGAAGTATCTCTTTCTTTTCTCAAATATAACTTACTGTGTATAAAATTAATGATTATTTAGTTATGTAAATACCATTATTAAAGTTCGTAGTCTAATCAACTATTATATCCAATGTAAAGGTGGTGTATATTTACATCAATTTCCTCGTTGGAAGTAATAATTAAAACTATCATAAAAATAATAAAAATTCAGAATGTTTACATTAATTCCTTTGCAACATTCTTTATTAATATTGTGAAGTACTGAGTACTTCTTATAACTTTTTTTATAAAAGAACGTCTGAAATATCACAAATGTATCGATCTATTGATTAATATTGATGATTCCTAAATGTTGTAATATAATATTGGTATGTTTAATGTTGAACACACTGATAAAAAATCTTTATCAATTGTTGGGTTTCCGTTGAGAATTTTGGCTGAAATTTTGAACGGCATCTACACTATTCGGGAAGAAAGCCGAAGTAGGTCAATCGAGTAATATAGAGCGATATTTCGAGTTTCCTCGTCTAAAATGAATATAAGTCGAGATGAGACAAAATTAGACGAAGAAACTCGAAAAAACCCTTTTTACTGTTCGACTTTGACATACTAAGGCTTGCTTACTTCCCGAGTAGTGTAGAGGTTGTTTTGCAAATTCATCATATTAAAATTTGCGGTATGTTTTTATTTTGTTTGATTGTGCCTAAACTTTATATTAGACATTCAAACTAGAAAAGACACAATTTTAAAGTAAAAATTTTGTTAAAAGGGCTTAATCAAATTTAGAGAAAGAAAATAAGATAAAATATAAACGATTTGTGCTATTCTGTATTAATATCTCGTTTAAAATCCAAACACTAGTTTAAAATACATTTTGATATTCAATCTCAATTTTCTCATTTAATATCATTTATGGCGTAAACTAGTTAATTAGATATCCACAATATTTCAAATTTATTTGTAATATAAATATTAATATTACAAAATGTAATTTAATAATATTGTCATTTAGCATATTAGATATAGTTTGCTAATGTAAATGTCCATTGATCCAACCTATTATTATTGAGAGAATAATTTAAATATCACTCATTTATTTAAAATTAATAATTGAATTTAGTGTATATTATACATAAATATTGCAGTTCAGATTTTAAATATTACGTTGATCAAAATTCATAATGGCTCTATTCACATTTAGAGACCTATAATTAAGTGTGTATCTGAGATTTTATCTGTATATAGGACGATTCACGGAGATGGCACGTTAGAAATTTATGGAGAACCGGTCATAGATTTTTTTTGAAAATTTGGATTTTTACATAAAGGCACCTACTCCATATATCTAAAGCATTTTCAGCGTTACGGTGTTTTTGCTTCATACTAAAGCGGTAGCATCTTTCTTCTAAATGAACACCCGATATATTATTACAATTTTGGAAATCACTTTCATATCCCAAAATGTTTCTATTAGACTAACCTATATCTATCTCTAATAGTTTTTTAGATAAAAAACAAAACATGTGTAAAATTGACAAAATAATGATCTTGAACAAACATTGGTAAAATCATAAATTATTGAAAAATTTATGAAGAAAAAAGTTGAAATTTGGGTTAGAAGTTGACGAAAGTCGATTTATTCTATCTAGTGATGGGATAACTCCAGCGAAATTTCGCTCGAGTACACTATTAAAATAACCGACAAAATAACCGCTCGAGTACACTATTGAAATAACCGACATCGCTCGATTATGAACGAGAGCTGCAAGAGACGAGTTACGAGCAACTAACGCAAGCGAATGAAATAAATTGAAATCCGATTTTAATATGATATACTCGATAAAAATCCGAGCGATTTTTTTTACATACATTGCAGGTAGCAAATTTATACGACGTTATCCGTCGCGTACTTGAGTGACAAAATTTTACAACCTACATCGACAACGCCTTGAAATAAACTACTAAATCAAGCAAGCGATCAAGCGAATCGCTCGTCGCTTGCTACTTGCCATTCATCACCGAAAGAATATGTGCTCTACGCACGCAACTTGCTGTTTGGCGTTACGAGTACAAGCAGCAAGCGACGGGCGAAAAACCGTATTTTTAAATACGAACGATAATTCACTCATTGAATCGAGTGAGTACCTACTCGATTACTGAAATCGCTTGAAACTCGAGTACTCGATTATTGAAATTAATCGGTTTTTCCCATCACTTGTTATAAAATTGCTCAAATCTTTGTTATTATATATTCTATATTCAAGCCTATGTATATTTCAAAAATCGAAACACACATAAAATTGATTTTAAACGATATATCATGTTCCTATACCTGAATCTTTTGATTTCTTCAGTAAAGCAAAATAAAAACACTAAATCACCACAATATACCAAAACACTTTTACTTTTACACTGGACGCGCGTTTCGCTAACCATGTTAGCATCATCAGCAGATGATTATGAACTGTTTATAATCATCTGCTGTCCAGTGTAAAAGTAAAAGTGTTTTGGTGTATTGTGGTGATTTAGTGTTTTTATTTTGCTGTGTAACACCAAAGGTTCCAACCCTCAGCTGTAATCTTCTTCAACAAAGCCATTTAAACGATATTATTTCTATTATAATTATATCATTTCAGGAATTTCATAACATGACAATTTTCGAAATTTAACAAGTAAAATCTAATTCATATAGTCTATAAAATGAATAACTTTGAATTTTGACCTTTATTTTTGACCAACATGGCAAATATAAAATCCCTCAGTCAAAAAAGTTACATCAGTTTTTTGACTGAGGGATTTGACTGAGTGTTTTTCACTGAGGGAAGAATATCAATTCTTTAAATTGGGTGTCTGAATGAATCAGAGAGGTAACTCTGTCTACTTCCGTGAAATAGAAAAGGAAAATAATAAAAGTGACAGTTCTTCCTCTTCTTGCAAAAATCAACACGAAATGTCATCAGCTTTTGACATTTCTAAATATCAGACCAATGCCGTCTCTAATAGCACAGCCTCGGAGCGACATTTATGAAGTCACGCTAGTTAGATACTGCGGATTAATAAATATGTTGTAGAATACATGGAAAACATAATTATTCCTCGTATTTTTGGTTTGTATTTTAAAAATAATATAGTTTAAATGAAATATACATAATATACAGTTAATAAACACAACATATATACCTATTTATAGTAATAAGTACTTTGGCAAATAAACTATGAATCATATAAATGCAGCAAATGTTTTACAATATACAAATAATGAATAGGTACATAAGATAATGGGTAAAATGTAAAATATATTTTAAATTTTGGGTTTTGAAAATCGATCTAATTTAACAAAAAACATTCAATATCTAGTAATAGTGATGTATTATTTTTTCCATTTACAAAATTTATATGTATATTTTGTATGTATAAGTATCAATGTTCGAAAAATTATATTTGCGAATAATACAATATCATAGAAAAAAAGGCGTCAGCGATGGCTATGAAATAAAGATCGCTGTCATTTTATATGTAAAATTATTCTAAAATTTTTGATTTTCTTGGGATTTAGGTTCGGGAAAAACGCTGATTAAGCTTTCATTTGGGTTTTCATTATTTTTATTTGGTTAAAAAAAACGTTTCGGCTAACATAGCCTACATCAGGGTTGTGTCATATGAAAAAAATAGTGTCGAATATAATCCATAAATTACATATAAAATATTCACACCACATAATGTTTACTACAATTAATTAACTAATATAAACTTGTCAAAAGATGACCACATATTTTTTTTAAATTATTATTTTTAACACTAAATCTATCTACATTGACTATGGAGTACGATTTCAGCCAGAAGAATTATATTTTCCATGTATTCTACAACATATTTATTAATCCGTAGTATCTAACTAGCGTGACGTCATAAATCTTGCTCTGATGCTGTTCTATTAGAGACGACATTGCGTCAGCATGGCCGCAAGTTGCTAACCTAATAAAATTAGCACTCGAAAAGCCCGCGGGAACTGTCAAATTCAAAGTTATTCGTTTCACAGACTATACTTATACAGTTTCAATCTTGGTTAGTCATGGTAACGATTTTCTTTAAACGAACTTTACTGGAGAAACCAGAAGGTTTAGGTATTGGAACATAATATGAACACAAATAAAATTACTTTTCAACAATATATTATTCATCACCGGTTCTCCATAAACGTCTAACATGCCATGGCTGTGAATAACTCTGTATATGTTTCATCTTTGGTAGGCTTTATTCAATCATCAAATTTTCAAAGTGTTTTACTAGAGAATTTTAAATGTGTGAATATAGTTATTGTTAGCCCGAATATTATTTAAAGAATGAAAATATATTTTTTTTTATTTCAAACACTTTATTTTAAATAAACCGCATTAATATTCGAATTTTCTGAGTGCACTTGAACAATATTTGGGATACGTATAAAAATATAAATTAACCAATCAACCGTGGAATTTTGCAGTATTTCATTTTATTGTTAATTCGAATAACAAATATGAACCAAACAAAACAAGGACTTGTTCAAATATTTTACCTGAAAATTCGAATAAACCAACGAAAAACAGCTACTTTGGAATAGCTGAAAGCGGTCATTCATAATTCAACGATCGTCAAAATTAGTTCTCTGGCTATGGCCCGGAATTGTCGCGTTAATCCAGTTAAAAATTCCGGCAAATTGTCCATAAAAAACTGTTGCTTTACTGCGATGCCTGGAGCATTGTAATCGATTGAATTAACTAAACATTTCGGACTAATTTTACCAGTAAATATCGGCTTAATTTTCGGAGTGTTCGGCCTGGTGCGCCCTATGTGTTTCAAGTAGAGTTAGTGTTAGGGTGCACAAGTGCAAATAACGATTCTCATTTGCAAAATATGTAATTGTTTGTTATCGGTTTTAATTAAAAATACTTTAATGTGTTGGGTATTTAATGGAAAATAGACTCACCGACAAAGAAACCGGCCACTAAAAACTAGTCCCAATTTCAAAGTTAGATTTCTCGCGAACCAGGCATTAGGTTTTGATGACTTTTTTTAAATTGTAAATTAATTCCTTCGTAACGGATGCTACGTCAGAAATGTTTATTCAGAATTTATTTTGGGCATATACAGGGCACAACAATAATACGATGTTTTTTTGCCCGAACTTTGTAACACCCTGTAGGGTGCAGCAGCTATTGTAAATCACATTGTAGCGTCATCTTTTGTGAGCCATTTTGTTTTTTTTAATCACAACATTATCTCTGTTTGTATTGGAGATACGCTGCTTTAAAACGAACGTCTCGGAAAAATGTTTCGCAGGCAAAATTGCGATTCATCCGTGAAAAGGACGTTAGTCCATTGCTCAATATCACAATTCACATGTTAACGCGCAAATTGAAGACGTGCTCGACGATGTCTTGGAAGTAGCTGAGGTTCTGTGACGACCTGGGGTTCTGTAACGACCTCCTTGAAGACAAGCCGTTTTCTTTTAGTCTTCGTCGGATTGATCTCTCACTGACTTGAGTTCTACGCACGGCTTGTAGCAGATGGTGATTCCGAAACGCTGTAATAATTCTACAATTTCGTAAAATATTCAGGACAATAGATCTGTCGCCAATTGCATTTGTCTTCCATTTTCTTCCGGAATCCACTCACCTGGTGAAATTTCCGGTTTCCATATACCGATTCCAGGCATCCTGGACTGTTGTTCGAGGTATACCCCGGGTATCGGACACATAACGACTTGGGTCATCCTCAATTAAAGCCACAATACGAGCAACATCCGTCACAGATAATGGCATTTTTTTAATTTGACAACCGTTGTTGTCATATTGCAAATACTGATAAATCCGTTTTCGCCTATGTCGCCTTGATTATTTACGCATAAAACATTCTGCCGATGCGTTTTCCGAGACGTTCGTTTTAAAGCAGAGTATATATCCAATAAAAACAGAGATAATATTGTGATTAAAAAAATAAAATGCTCACAAAAGTTGTATCCTCTCTTGATCTAACTGTTCATTAAAAGTGTTTTCAAAATCAACAACGCAGTAAATTGAGACGTAAGTGTCGATCTCCTGCAAAATGTTATAGGAAAATAAATAATTTCCTCCGAACTTGTCGGTGGAAAGTTCAGAACTGTCCTCAACGCGAAATTTTCTTGCAATTCGCAACATTCTTAAGGAAACCATTTACTTCTCTTTAAATGAAAAACACTGCCAAGTTTTCCTCCCGACTTTCGACAGTTGTAAATAATAAAGGCAGTCAGCTCGCTGTCAGCCTTTCTCCTGTTCAATTTCTAATTCTAGTTTCTATTAGTTAAGCTAGTTCATAAAGAAGATTAATTATTGCCTCCTCATTGTTGTATATATTATATTCATTTCAACACATTGCGTTTATTTTTAAGCGTACTTTAAGGTTTGTTCTACACTAATTAATTTTAAAGCCTAGTTGACACGGTCAAAATGTACTTGGATCAAATATACTTGGACGCTACTTGAGCCCGCAGCGTCTAATGGTTCTACAAGTACTCCAAGTGATCCAAATCCATTTTTGCCAAGTCAACCGAATAGTTCCATATAAATATACTTATATTATGGATAGATTATTGCGCGCATCTCAATTTTACGCTGTTTCTATTGTATTAACTGTTTTATCGGTCCAGTTGGAAGGGTTCGTAGAATCCAAGCAAGTTGTTAGCAAGTCTACTTACTTTGGTGCAACTTTGATATTAAAAATCCTTCCAACTCGATTTGGATAAAACAGTCCTTACTATACAAGGAGCGTATAAGTGAGACACGTGCAGCATTATTATAAGTATATTTATATGGCAGCATCCAAGTGTATTTGTTCAAGTAGAGTAGTCCATTGCAGTCAGTAGCGTAATAGTATAAATAAAAAATCTTGCGATCGTGTACTAAATATTAATAAGTAAAAAATATTGTATTTTTTAATAAGTATATTCGGCTTGGTCGACCGATTATTTAGTTGCAGAAACCAATATATTCTTATGGAGCTGCGTACTCATAAATCAAATAAAACAATCGAATAATCGAACTATCAAATAGTTTATCGCTGCTTTCCGACAAAAGCGACACAACTCAAAATTAATAAACTTTACAATAGAGGCAATTAACAATTTTTGAATCATATTATGTTTTCTTACACAACCAGTTTTGACTAATTTTTAAAATGGTGTTTGATAGTAAATAAGTAGGTATAGTTTTTAGTTCATTTTTAATACCTATTGCCTTTAAAAGTTAAGTACTAAAAAAAGTAACCTTTCTTCTCGAAAGAAAAACACAAATGACAATCAAAGTCTTTCTCGAAAATATTATAAAATAATTCTGTCACTTTTTATTTTTCGACCCTTTACTCTGTAAAGCGGG